GGGAACCACACTGATGGCACAAAGCCTAGCATAAATAAGGCCTAAGCTTTCTCTCCTCCACAGAGCAGCAGAGCAAGCAGGAAGAGATAAAGTATCAATTCACTGAGGCTCCTCTCTGCTGTCTAGTGCCACCTTCTTCCTACCTTGACTTCCAACATTAACATATCTATATAGATATCTATCTAAAAACTCTTGCAGGGAAAGGTGAAGCTCAAAACATCAAACCTTACTATTTCTAAATACAGATGTTCCTGAATACCCTTGAACAAAATCTGAATTCAGAGCATAATTAAGACTTAATTCTAGAGGTACTATTTATTTTAGCAGTATTCATAGCAACACCTGTTTTGAAATTTAAACAGGAAACAAAACTACTCCCAACCATTATCTTTCAAAAGGGTCAACAAAATTAGAAGTAAAATGTCAGTGCAGTCATTTTCCTCTACAAATTCTGCATATTTTTTCTTGGTGCTCCACAAAAGACTGACAGATGAAAACGTCTTGATGCAGACAAACTAAATTTGCATTTATTCATCCTGTATTTCTCCATGCTGCCTTCCAATACCTGGGCACACAAGGGTGTAAGAAGGACATGAAAGTCATTAAAACTGCCAAGACAACATAAGCTATTCCTCTCCAGCATGTTTCACCCTGAGCCCTCTGAGTACCATGAAAGCCACCGCGTAGTCAACTTTTCTGTGATCTTTTTGATTCAAAGCCAGAATACTCTATGAATTATGTCCTCCCGCTGAACGCCTGGCAGATTTCCAAGACAAAAATCTGCATAGTACTTGCTTCTGATAAAACCAGCAGTAATTTCCCTCTGTGCTTTCTCTTCTAGGGCCAGAGGACAAGGCAAAAGAAGGGCCACCTATAGGCAGTACCCGCAGAGGCACACACCCAGAAGGGAGAGGGAAGGCCGAGGAGTGCACGCCAGCCCTCAACAGCCAACGGCTGGAAGCCGGCATGGTTTGGTTTTTCAAATACCCATCTTTGCTCCCCTCTGAGAGCCCCATGGCTGTTCTTCTTCAGGAGCTCAGTGCAACACCCAAAATCAGCGTCTGCCTTTGCTAAGTCAGGGATCTGGCACTAACAAAACATGCAGGGAAAACCCTTGGTTTCCCAAGCCTGCTCATCCCCTAAATTGTCCTGAGAGAAAGAGGGGGTGCAGCCGGCACGCTGAGAAGGCAGAGCCCCTTATCCAGCTCACAGTGACAACGTGACCCCAATGAAACAGCCTCCAGTGCCCTATGGCCTCCTGATGCCGCTAAATACTGGGCGTGAGGTCTATTGCCAGCTTTTGTGCAGGTTTTCTACTCCTGTATCTATCAATTCATTATTGCTTCAAGTTTATAACGCTTATAAGTACTGTTCTGCAAGAAGAGAGTTTGGAGTCAAACCACATGTTTATACCAAACATTTCAGCTCGTTCAGAAGTTACTTTTTATTGCATCTGGCACATTACTAGATGCCACCATTAGCTCATTTCATATAAACTGCAAGTAACAAAGAGACAGCTGAAACACCCATCAGGTAAAATACATTCTACTCTGTATCTCCATGCGGGCGTCCAAGCAACCCACATTTCTATGGTATTTAGATGCCAGTTACAATGATTTATACTAAGGCGACCACAGCAAGCTCTTCATTTTTTGCATATTCGTGCTTATTTCTTACTCACTTCAGTTCTGGTAAAACGATAAGGTTTGCACCACGCAGTGAAAACATCGCTTCGTGAGTGCCTCCAAAGCAAACTCCGCGACACGGCTGCGTTTGCTCCTGGCTTCGCCCGAGCCCCACTGACAGGCATGACTGATCACATCGTTCCTCGCCATCCTGAACAAAGCCCAAATGTTCGCTACCCAAAGACATCATTCTTTGGGGAATCCTTTATTTGCCCACACAGGAATCTGTTGTTTACAAAACTAGAAACTAACAGCCAGTATTTGTTCCTGTGAATTATCTGAACCTATGCACCAACTTACAGCTATACATTTTTTATGTATCGCTAGAAGAAAATAGCCTTACAGCTCGGAGCGTTAACCCACAGAACTCCTACTGTTCTAACAAACCACTGACACAGGCACTTAAACCTAAATTGTCTGAAATACAAAGGCAGGAAAACAATTAGCAGGAATCCTTCCTGATCCTCCTCTTGCCAGGGATTCAGGTAATATCAATGCTTATGCGAAAATGAACAACTGAGTGACATTTTCGTTCTTTTTATTTCTATTTAGCCAAAAGCTTATTATTTATTTTTTTAACAATATAACCAAGTATTAATAGACCACATAGATATAACTGGAAAGATCTGAGAATCAGTCTCTGGTTTTGGTTAAGGGCAGGGATCCAACTCAAAGACTGTTTTTCTGCTCCGGTATCAGTGAAACTCATCTTTGTTTCCTATCTCAGGGACATTTTCTTCAATTTCTTGGTATTTTTACTTGGAATTTCAAGTATTGCACATTAACCAGAAAACTGCTTTGGAAAAGTACCATCCATTTCTACATAATCAGTACTTTTTTGTAAGAAAACTTTAATTTGTATGTCAAGAGCAAAATTAATGTGTCCAAACAGCTTCATGGCCTATGCTATGATGTACTGCTCCCCAAGTCATAGCACCAGGGCAATGGTTTTTCTCTCATTGCTGCTAAACAGAATACATGAGCCTAGGAATAAATACCCGTTCAAGAGGCTCAAGTTGTAATTGGCTCAGAAAGCTCATTAATCATCACCTAAGAACACTGCAGAGAGCAATAAGCAAAAGAACCGGGACAGTTCAAAAGATACCAAAGAGAAGCAAGCCCACTGTCAACTCTTCACTATTCAGTATAGTGAATTACCAACGCTCACCGTATCACATACACGACATTTTCCAGTGAAAACCTGTTACAGGTTCTACATACCAAAGAGGAATAAAACCCAGCTAACCGGGACCACCTTTGTTTCATGTTGTTGACTGTTACTCCCATGAACACACAAAATCCTTTGTGAAAGCTTGAAGGCTGAGCAGTGGACTATACTGCAGAAATCTATTCAAAGTCTGGGAGATGAGGAAGACCAGGGGCAGGGAAAGGACCCCAGGAGGAATAGTGCCTCCTTTCAAATCCACACGCCTACCAGCCTCTGGCTGATGCAAAAGCAGAATCACTGACTACAGCTTATGAATGGACATCTGGCAGAAATCTCCCCTCCTCCATTATATGCACTGAAGGGGGTCCTGTCCCTGGGTTATCTCCCCCCATCATGCTTTCCTGGGAGGTCTTGGCAAACTCAGTATCTTTATATAAATATATATACACACACACATACACACTAAGATTTGAAAGAAAAATGCACACGTATGTGATATTAACTGATATACAACATAATACATACAATAATAAGTTTAAGAAAAAGAGAAAAATAATCAAGGCAGAAAGATAAAAAAAAGGTCTCCTCTATCCAAAGATTTAAATGCAGTATCAACACACACAGGTTAGCACATGTTAACTAAAACATTTTAAAAGATTAACACAGATGTGGAATGCAACTTTAGCATAAACTAAACAAGCTGAATGTCAGTGTGGGGTCTGAATGTTATATGCAGGTATATCCAACACCTTCCTGTGGGCCACTGAAGATGTACTGTAAGAGGAAAGAGAGTAAGCCCACAAATAGCAAGGAAAAAGCAACAAAATAAAGAAATACATAGTAGATCAATATATTTCCTACCGTAGGAAAGAGAAAGGAAGAAGTCTGATATAATGTCAAAACACCGTAAGTAAAAGCAGCACACAATATGCAATACAGAACTCTTCAACGCTTTTGTGACATGCAGATGCCTTGGTCAGGAAAGTATTTTCCTGGAACTTCTGGGTGTTGGTCTGGCATTTTATTAACATTACAATTATCCATTTTTAAAAACAATTTTAAAAGCACATCAGACCACATTTAAAACTGAAGTCATCATTAGACTCATTTTAATTGTGGAACAAAACTATGTCCCTTCTTCCACTGAGTATATTTTGATATTTGCATGTACCACTAGCTCCAAAGTAGATTACTGTAAATCTCTGCCAAAAGACTTTGCGGACAGGCACTGTATTCAAAGGCTTCATTAAATTGTAACACCAGACATAATATCTATGTTCTAAACGCTGAGGGCTCCCTTAATCCCATTTTGTGAATTTACCATAGCTTTCTGCTTTGCATAACTTTAAAATCCCAAAACCTCCATCTTCCTGGAGAATTCGGTGATGGACTACATTGGTATTGGGGAATACCATCCTCTGTGGGATAACTGCTTGCATCCCTCTGCTAACTAGCTTTAGTTTCTTTTCAGAAATCAAGATCTACTTGCAACAAAAAAATATTCCTTTCCATGTTCATAATCAGAAGCTTTGAATTTCTGAGAAACAGACATGTGCCCTTCTTTTCCTTTCCAATGCAGAATGTGTTTTCCTGAGTATTTTAAAGAAACAGAGGGTAGGTGCCAAGCCCCTGGTAGGTGTACACGTCTTTCTTATTTACTTAAGGTCCGAAACAGATCAATTTAGAGGCATGCTAATGGGTGCCTTCTGATGCCAAACTATTTCTGAAAGACACTGTAGGATGAGCAATACGGCCAAAGCAACTCCAAAAGCGGGCGCTATAGGTGGGGATGACACAGTATTACGCACCAAAAGGCGACGCAATTATAAAACGCTAAACCCGCATCCACCTCCCCCGCGCCCACACGCAGGCCACCCCACAACCAAGGCGACGGCTTCTACCTTTCCCCCCACGAAACCGCCGACGGTGCAGGGAGACACACACACACACACACATATCCACCCCCCACCACCCACGGCACGGCTGAGGAGCCGCGCGCTCCCTCACCGCGGCCCGCCGGCGGGAAGCAGCCCATCTCCGCCCGGCCGCCGCAGCCGGCGGACAAAGGCAGAGGGAGCGGGGCTGCCGCTGCTGCCGGGCCGGGCCGGGCCGTGCCCGGGGGGCGGCGGCGGGTCCCGGCGCCTTACCTGCGGCGGGCGGCGGGCGCTGGGGCTCGCCCTGCTCCAGGGTGACGGCGCCGTCCCGCCAGACGCGGAGGTGGGCGGCCGCCCCCGGCCTGGCGGCGGGGGTCTCGCCGCGGCGGGCGCGGGCCCGCAGCGAGCCGCAGCACTGGTAGCACACGGCCCACGCCTGCTCCTCGTTGATGGGCTGGTTGTACAGCCTGAGGATCTCCTCCAGCGACAGCGCCTCCGGCTGCCCGCCGCCGCCGCCGCCCTCCTCCTCCTCGTCGGTGGGGCGGGAGGCGCCGGGCTGGGGCTCGGCGCCGCGCTCACCCGGCAGCGCCATGCCCTGCCTCCGCCGCGGTGCTCCTCGCCTCAGTGAGCGGCCCCGCCGCAGCGGCGGCAGCTGCTGCTTGCGCTGCTCCCGCCTGTGCTGCTGCTGCTGCTGCTGCTGCTGACGCCCGGTCCCGCCGTGCTCATCCTCCCCGCCCCGCTAGTGCCACCGGGCCGCCGGGCGGGCGGGCGGGCAGGCAGGCAGGAGGAGCGGCGCCCGGGCCGCCCGCCGCCGCCGCAGGGGCAGACAGCTCATAGCAACGCAATGGCGTCCCCGCCCGCCCCCCCCCGCCGCCGCCGCCGCCGCCGCCGCCCGGCGCCGCAGCGCCCCCTGCCGCCGCCCCGGCCCTCACGGCGGGCGGCGGCCCAGCTGCGCGGGGCGGCGGGTTTGGCTGCGGCCCCCGCGGAAATCTCCGCGTCCGTGGGCAGCGCTTGCATCTCCTGTGGAGACGCCGGGCTCCCGCGTCTCTCATAGACACGGGTGACAATGCGGTTGTTCTCGCTTCAGTTCTCGCTGGTTCTGGCGCCGGGGGTGGGTAACAACCCCCCAGGCGGAAAGCAGGGGGCCCGCCCGCCCCCCCCCCCCAACCCACACCTCCACCGCGGACGCGTCAGGTTTCGGAGGAGCCTCCGCAAGCGCCGGCTTCCACAGCCGGAGAGTGGCCGCGACCCCCGCGCCGCCCAGGCTCCACCCCGGCAGCAGCGAGGCAGGAGCCCCCGGGCCCACAGCAAGGCGGGCGGCAGGGAAGGGGCGCTGAGGGAACCGCCTTCCACACAGCGGGGAAGGGGCGCCCTTACCCCTCACACACCCGGAGGGCAGAGCCTGCCCCTTTCTGCAGGCTTCTCCCCGAGCCCCTGTACCGCCCGGAGCACCGCACACAGCAACAGCGCCTTCCTCTTCCACAGACTAAACTCAGAACTCCCAGCAAAAAGCCTTGGGTTTTTGTTTTCTTCCATATCCCACCATTTTACCTAACATACGTAAAAGGAAATTAAAATTTTCCTCTCAGCACCTGCTTTATATTGAAGACAAGAAGCGTGTAAATGACATGAGCATGGACACACAGCACCCAGATCTCGCCACCCACCCCCTGCGTCTTATCTCACTTCTATGGAACGTGGGTGCTTTTTTTCCTCTCACAATGACATACATGTGTGTAACACACCGCTGCAAGTAAGACATAACTTGTAATTAAATAAAGCTATTTAATTTTGCAATATCCACCATACACTATGATCCAGCCTTTCACGTTATATTAGATATAAAGATACTCTCTGAAGCTTTGATCAGGGTCCTGTACAGGCAAATGAACATTTCGATCTTTCAGGTATCAAAAGAAAACTAACACAAAAACAGATCTGTAAAGTATTTGAAACCTGTTAGCAGCAGGGCCAATAAGCACATAATCTACTATTATAATGACAAGTTAAAACTAAAGTGCTGCAGTAGGCAGTATTTCACACTTCTTGAAAAAAAGACAAAAATAGTGTCACCCTACCACACTCCTGATTAAATATACATGCAAAATGCCAACGTTCACTCCTACTGTAGGTGTTGTAAGCTTCTCCAGGATTAGCTATTTTTTTGCTCCAGCACCAGCAGCAAGTTGGATCTTTCTTTTAAGTAGAATAAAAGGAGATGGGCATCAGCTGTCAAAGATGTGGAATGGCTTCTACAGAAGAAATCAGTTTTGGAATCTTCCACCTCAAAAAGAGATGGCTGAAGTGGTGAAAAACATGAGGCATGGTATGGAGAAGTTCTGTAAGTCCAATTGCTCACCATTTCTCAAAGAATGAAGACTAAAAGACACTCATCAAAAACACCATTCACAGGTTTAAGACAAATAAAACCGTAGATGGATAATTAAGTATGGAGGTGAGTGTCAGAATGATAAAATCATGAACAGCTGTTAAGCAAAATGGCCTAGCTACAACTTCTACCTCAGAAACTTCCTAAGATAATGTCAGGAAAAAGACATCAAGTTAAACCACTTAAACCCAGCACAGTTACTAAGGTATCCAAGTCATAATTTTAAATATTAAAAAAAAAAAAAAAAATGAAAATTATTAAATTCATAGATTAACAAGATTACCTATACGTGACTGAACTGTTCTCAAAAGCTGAACGTAGAAGCTATTGCTAGGTCCAAGAGAGGCAGAAAGAAATTTTGTTGTGGAAAGGACACATGCTTCAACGTCAGTATTTCTGGGTCTCAGTTGCTCAAAGGGCACCCTGGCCACTACAGGTTGAGGAGAGGTAGAAGAGAATCTCATACCCTAGAGATGTAATATAGCCTTTTTAAAATTAATTCTCACACCAGTTCAGAACTGCAGAAGAGAAGCTAGTACTTTATGCATACGTTTTATTAACCTGACCCACATTCCTGTAAGTATTAAAAGTAACTTTTATTAAAAACAAGAATAAATTCTCTTTATAAATAAAATAATTACTGTGTACACAATCCTCTTCAATATACACACTGTGGTATTCAAAAACCTGGCATTTATATAAAATACACTATTAGTTTTTAATTGCATAATTTTATACCCACATTATTTTTCAGATCTAAACAGTTGTTTTGTTTTGTTTTTTGTTTTTTTAAATCAAAGAACAGAGCGGTATTTACAAGCAAACATGATCCAAACAGCACACGCAGATTCAGGGTATGAAAACACTCGTACACGAACTGCAAGTCGCACTTGGTCTCCCCTACAACAGATTATTTCTTCACAGAAAGGAGACCTATATAACAAAAACAAAAGTGACAGATATTACTAAGTTATTATTAAAATTTTCAATTGCATTTGCGCATTTTTTTCCAAATCTGACTAACAAATAACAATGAGTGTCATGAGTCTGTCATTACAAATAATACTGCTCTCTAATGCAGGGGCTGTTGCCTTGGAGGAAAGCAAGACCACCACTGATCATTTTTAACAAGTGCAGAGAAATTAAATTACCTCCTTGTTCTTTAAATTTAACCCATGAAAAGTCTATTATCACTGAGCTTATCAATATGCCATAAAAGCTCGGTACCCCATGACCCATTACATCTACCACACAACTCTTCTTTCAGTTCTAATTTAAGGAAATTAATTTTCTTTAAATTTCATCATAAAAAAAAAATCAGTTGCAATTCACAAGTAAGTATTATTATTTGGGTTTAAGATACATATATCTCTTTACATTTAAACTTACCTAAGACATGTGGCAAATGCTCTCCTGGCATTTCTGTATACAAAATGGATAGGAAACCCTTTAAATGTGTGACCATCGGGTACTGCTCTTCTTATAGCATCCTGAAACTCTTCATTTCCTGCGGAAATACTTGTTGTACGTTCGAGTTCATAGGCTGCTAATGCTGGTGACAACAGATAGGATAGATGGTCATCCCAAACAGTAGAAAGGCCAAGATCCTGTGAGGCAAGTCACAGAATGATGACAACCATGCAGAATGAACATTAGGATATGACTAAGCTTGCATACTGTATAGATTCAAATAAATCCATGACAAATCTTTAATTTGTAGTTAATGGAAGTGAACCCATGAAGCAGTAAGATTGGTATACTGACTCACACATCAACCAGAAGAATCAAACATTACCAACTAAGTATCAAACATTTAGCAAGAAATTAAGTTAAGACTACTAGACTAAAACAAGACCAGCAGAGTTGAAAATAGAGTTTTAGCTACAGTATCTCTGCACGAAATGTAGGAAGAGTGCATAACTACACGGCAAAAATATGGGAAAGATCAACTAAGATTCACCTCACATTTTTCTAGTCTCTCACAGAAGCCCACTTCTGAAAAACCAACGCGCAACAGCTCCCCAAAACACATACACATACATGCACCTTCCTCCTACCATCCCACAAATGCAAAGAAGTAGAAAAATCTATCACATATGTATTCAGCATTGCATCAGACTCATACTCTGGGAATTACTTGTCACGCCAAAGGTTGAGCATTGTGTGGGGAGACAAAATAAGAACCACCACAAAACCCCATTAAAACCAGACATAAGCTGACAGTGATTTAAAATATCAACTCCTTTGTATCCAGCACAGGAAGAGTAATTGCTGGCACATTACGTGTTGGAAAAATCCTGATAAAGGACAAAGCTAACTTCTAGAAGTACCTTCTCATTTTCTAAAGCAGTCAGAGTAAGTTGAAAGCCTGCTTTTATCTAGGGACCAAAAACATTTGTGATGGATAGGCAAAGCCCACCAAGAACCAGGTTTGATTTTCCTAGCTCTTTTACAGACCACTCATAGGTAGTCTGCAGGTGCCAGTAAGCTGAAGATCACAGACCTAGAATGACAGGCAAAGGCAGGGCGGGGGGGAAGAGCCCACACATGATGCTACCAATCACCACTGCAAATAAGTATGACATCTAAACTAGATCAGTACAGTCTTTCCAAAAAATTTTTCAGTTATTTCACTTCTCACATTCTGCATTTCTGCAAAAGCTGATGAAAAACACATTGCAATGTGTTTTTCATCACAAAACAATGGCTATCCCAAACAAGTATACAGTAAAAACATGCACCTTTACTACTGCAACAGATCAATTACAATCTTTAAACAGTATTACCTTTCTGTGTTCAGAGACCAGTATTCTCAGCTGCAATTCTATCTCATTACTTGTTACTGCAGCATCTATTGGGGAAGCACACAGAGGAGGAAAAGGAAGAACTGAAGATGCTGTTCCAGGAGGACATACAGATTTTATTGCCTCGCCACTCATAGCTTTCCATTTAGATTCATCATGCAGGTCAAACACACAGACCTCCACAGCATCAGAGGGCTGACAATTTCCGAAGAACTTCTGATGGTTGAAGATACAACCTATTGTGCGATAAGGATACAGTGGCTTGGGTTGTTCAACTAGTGGAGGGTCATCAGGGTTGATAGGTCTGTGGATGTACCTAATCAAAAATATTCAATTTCTTATTAATACACCTTATTTCAAGGCAAGGTAAAAATATTTAGATGGGGCAGATAGAAGCCATTTCTCTTTTAAAAATATAAGCCAAGTCTGTTAACTTGTTTTGTGTGGGTTTTTTTGTTTTGTTTTGTTTTTTTTTTCCCCCCCAAAAATGGCATTCATTTATTTACACACATTTATTTACACGAGTGATTATATACATTTTGGAGGCATAACATACAATGAAATAATACATCACTATTTTTTCTTTAAATGTAGAAAAATAAGCTGATTAATGAAGCAGATACCCAACAACAA